CGGATGAGTGGCTGCTGCTTTCACAGCAAACTCTGCTCAGAAGGGAGTGGGGGTAAAGTTGGCACTTGTATCCAAGGGAGGAGATGTTGCTGCTCTACTGTGCCTTTATGAGACCCCACACTGAGCACTGTGTCCAGCTCTGGGGTCCTCAGCACAGCAAAGGCAGGGATCTGCTGGAGTGAGTCCAGAGGAGGCCACAGAGAGGCTCCAAGGGCTGGAGTCCTGCTGCCCTGGAGCTAGGCTGGGAGAGCTGGGGAGGTTCACCTGGAGAAGAGAAGGCTCTGGGGAAACCTTATTGTGGCTTTTTGGTACTTAAAGGGGGCCTGCAGGATAGAGGGAGAAGGACTTCCCATGGGCAGATAGTGACAGGACAAGGGGGAATGACCTCAAGTGAAAGAGCGCAGGGTTAGATGGGATATTGGGAAGAAATTCTTCCCTGTGAGGGTGGGGAGGCCCTGGCACAGGTTGCCCAGAGAAGCTTTGGCTGCCCCTGGATACCTGGAAGTGTCCAAGGCCAGGCTGGATGGGACTTGGAGCACCCAGGGCTAGTGGAAGGGGGTTGGAATGAGATGATCCTTAAGATCCCTTTCCACCCAAACCATTCTGGGATTCTGTGATCTGCTCAGGATCTCCAGAAGCCAGGCTCCCCCTTCTCTCTGGGAACAGGCTGTGGCCTGGTCTAGGCTGGCACTGAGGGTACCAACTCCAATCTTGTGCATCAAGGAGTTCCCTTCAATGACATCTAATGTCTAATGACACTGCAGCACCTCCCCATGCATCATGAATGGTGGTAACTTCAGAACAAGCACAGATACAACAAAGTAGCAATGACAGAACCACAGTGGGATGTTCAGGGAACCTTCAAGCACAGGTGAATGTGCAATACCTGCTGCACCACAGGGAACTGAGCAGTACTGTCAGTACCCTCCACTGCTGACAGGGCCTTTGTCCATTACAAGTCCAGGTTTCTTTTTCCCCTTTTAAAGTTGCTGACTCTAAAATCTTCTCCTTGACATTTTCTCTACACTAGCAGGAGGGGTTTTTTTGTTGATTCTGGAAGCACTTGAAAACAGGGGAAATTGGCCAAGACATTCAAAAGTTAAATTAAAATCTGACTCTGCAAATAGCCAGTGTCAGTGGTGTGAATAATGTCCCTCTCCGGGAAAAGATGTTGAGGGAAATGGGGGAATTGGATCAGAGTGAGACACAGCTTAACACATACAGATAAAGTAATCTAGGGTTGGACAGGGTGACTTCCAAAGGAGATACTGGGTATTTGGATTCAAACTTTTTGGTACCAAAGGAGGAATTGTTAATGGGTTAAGGTCAGGGCATTCCTGAGCTTGCCCTGCATGGTTGGTGTGAGCTCTGTGGAGCGCTGGCAGTGAGAACAGGATTTACGGGTAGGAAATCTGCAGCCGTCGCTTTGGGAAGCTTTAATCATGGGTTGTTGTTGTGTCAGGGGTTTCTGTGTGCGCCTATGGATTAAAGAATGTATGATATGTCTAGAATTCCGAGAGGGATGTAAACAAGCCTCATGTTCTATAGAGTCTGTTCCTGCTCGGAGGTGTCGCTGATGTTGGTCAGAATGCTGTGCCAGTTTCCTCTTGAGAAGTGTTCGTTTACTGACAGCAAAGCACATGAAATGTCATCCCTGGTGAAACATTGCTCTCTGCATCTGTGCCCACATCTTCTGGGGCCAAACTTTCCACATTCTTGCCTCTCGCAGAGCTGTTGCGGTGGAAGCCTTTCCCCTTTAGAGCAATGTTGAGGTTTTTTTCAGTAAAAAGACAAACAAAGCTATTTTCTGTTTCAGAATGCAAGATGGGATATCTCTGGAGAGATTAACCTTCTTTACAGAGTTGTTTTTTGTGGTTGAAAAAAAAATCTGTTATCGTTAAAATAATAAAAAAAAAAATCTGCACCTCATTATTTCCAGAAATAAAGCTGCCATGATTAGATTTATTAAGAATTGACTCGGGGTGAACTGAAGAGCTCCAACCCCGAAGAGTTTGTGTTTTATTAAAAAGGCAGGAAGACAATAGGATGGACACAGGGGAAACAAGAAGAGGGAATTGCTCTGTGATGTTAAAAAGAAAATATGTTCTTTTTGGGAAGGACTCTGAGAAGTGGCTTGGCAGACACGGCAGGAGGGGTTACTCAGCCCCTCTCCATATGTTCAGTGCTTGCCTGGGCTCAGTTGCAGGAGGCAGAAATGGGAGAGATGTACAAAGGTCAGGGCTGGCACGGCCAGGGGAAGAATTCAGGAGGAAATGTAGAAGGGAAAAAGTGTGAGCAGGAGAGCTTGTCCTGTCCTTTCCTACCCTGCCCCTTCCCTCCTTCCCTGCTGTCCCTGAGCCCCTGGTGAGCTGCTGCACCTCCATCCCACTGCCCCTGGCTCCTGCTGTGCCCCAGCCTCTTGGGAACAGCAGTAAAACTATTCCTCCACATATCCATGAGAAGAGCTGTGGTTTGGCATTTGGCAGAGTCTCAGGGGTGCAGATGTAGTGCTGAGGCAGCAGTTTTTGGGAGCAGCCTGGTGCTACCTGGGGTTCCAGATTCCTCCAGACTGTTCTCTGGAGCCTCTGCCCCCTCCTGCTCCTCCGGGGGGGGGGGGGGGGGGTCATTCCTTTTTTACTTCTTGGCTTTCTTTTTCCCTTCCCTTTTACCTTGGGGCCATCAGCAGATCTGTTTCCTGATCTCTATGTCTGCTTTGAAGACAACTTCTCACCTTTTAGTTACTGAAGGAATGTGAGGAATGAGGCCCCATGGAGCCAGCCTCCCACCCAGCTGGGAGGTGTTCCTACGTGCTGGGGACAAGGAGCAAGGTGCTGCCATCCCTGGGAGCAGGTTCAGACCCTTGGGCACTGCTGGTGGGCAGCACAGGGGAGATGGCAGTGACATGTGCAGCGTGAGGATGGACTTTGAGTGCAGATCTGAGCATTTCAGTCCTCTGAAAATACTTATCAGTAGTGCCAGCAGTCCCAGAGCTACAGGTCCTGAGCCCCCGTGTAGATTTTCAGCTTGCTTTAGCAGTTTTGTAGACAATATTAACTTCTAAGGCAGATGCATGAGTAAATCAGAGAGGAGCAAGTTACCAACCTGGCTGTGATGGCTCTGGGATATTTGCAGGTGCCTGTGGGGGACAAGGGGCACTCCCACCCCCATGGAACTGCTGTGACTCTTGGTGTCACTGTGTTTGGATTTCCTCTTACAACCGCACCTGCCAAGAGGTGGACAAGTCAGAAGAGCTCTGGTGCACCCAGCTGTCCCCGTGGGGGCTGTCACAGCCCTGTGTCCCTGCCCTGCCCCTTGCCCATGCCAGGGTGGGCAGCCTGCCATGCTCCAGCCACGCTGGCTCACAGCGAGGATTTGGTCTTAAATCAGGGGCAGTGTGAGTCTGTGCTGGTGCCCCCAGGCTCTGCAGTGTGCCAAGGCATGCCTTCCCTTCCTCCAGAGAACAGCTGGGAGCAGGCAGTGTCCTAAACTGCCCTCCCTGTTTGCAGGTGCAAACACAGTGACACCTGAGAGTGTTTGTCCCTGCGCTGGTGCAATGATCCAGCTGTCACATCCCCAGAGGTCTCCAACAGACACAAAGGGAGGAGTTCCTTCACCCAACCCTGGTTCACTGCCAGCTGGAGTGACTGCTCTGGGTTCCTCTCACTGTCAGTGGGGATGAAGGAGGACTTTCAGAGCACATTTCATGCAGCCCATTTCCAGTGCAGGATGACACCACTCTCCCCTTGGGCCCCACCCTGCCCCAGGCCCTGTGCTGGGTGCAGGGGGGTCTGTTGGTACAGGGGGCTGTGCCTGGGGCTGGAGGAGGGACCTGGTGCCCCCATTTCACAGCAGTGGCTGCAGGGGAGCTGTAGGCTGACATCAGCCTTTCCCTGGCTGTGAACACCAGAGCTGTCCCTCAGGAAGGGTTTGCTGATGTGCCTTCCCTGTCACCCATGGGAGACTGGCAATCCTAATTATCTGTGAAAATACTTCCAAGGATGGATGAGGCCCCACTCCACTGTCTGCCCTGAGAGACACTAAGCCATCCTACGAAGATGCTCCAGGGCCTGGAGCCCCTCTGCTCTGGAGACAGGCTGAGGGAGCCAGGGGTATTTATCTGGAGAAGGGAAGACACCAGGAATATCTCAATGCAGCCTTTCAGTACTTAGAGAAGGCTTATAAGAATGATGGGAACAGAGTTTTTAGCAGGACCTGTTGCAACAGGATGAGGGGTGATGGTTTTAAACTAAAAGAGGGGACATTCAGGCTTGATATAAGGATGAAGTTTTTTACAGCAAGGGTGGGGAGGCCCTGGCACAGGTTACCCAGAGAAGCTGTGGCTGCCCCAGCCCTGGAAGTGTCCAAGGCCAGGTTGGACAGGGCTTGGAGCACTCTGGAATAGTGGAAGGTGTCCCTGCTCATGGCAGGGGGTTTGGACTAGATGACCTTGAAAAGTCACTTCCAACCCAGCCTATTCTGTGATTCTGTTATTCTGTTGCCTCTCACAGGTTGTCAGGTCACAGCATCACTTCAGGGCTATGAACAGGTACAACATGGGATGAAAACAATCCAAACTCTTACCCCTCCATAATTACCTGTTTAATTCCAGAGACCTCTGCTCTCTGGTTAGTCACTGGTTGTGATCTTGCTTAATGTAATCAGTGTCTAAGTAAGTAATACACAGATCACCAGTCAGGTTCAGTGGTGGTGGTGTAGCCTCTCTGTGATGTACCTGCAAAGTGGCCTTCCCTGGACAAACAGCCATGCTGGCAAGGGGACACAAGTATCCCAGTGAGCTCCCAGTTCAAGTGTGAGCTCTTCCTCTCCTGGTAGAGAAGTGCAGCACTCACTGGAAACCCACTCCTCCAGGGATGAGCCCTGCTCTGGCAGTGGGGCAGCTCCTGCTGCTCCCTGCCCTTGCCCAGGGCCAGAGAGGGGGGAGAAAGAGCCGTGATGGGAATTGCACTGACCGTGTTCCTTCCCTCTGCTTCCCCTTCCAGAGCACCGTGGGGGACAGGCGCTGCCTGCAGGGGCACCTGGTGCAGCTGCTGCTCCGTCACTGCGAGGGGCGCGCGGCGGCGCGGTGGGCGCGGCGCTGGGGGCTGCCCACGGACCTGCTGCCTCCTGGCCTGCCCGAGGAGCCTCCAGAGCTCCACACCCAAGAGAGGTAAATACCCTTTCCACTGTACACTACTTGTCCTACAAAGACTGTGTTTGTCTGCTTGAAATCATCTGCCATAACGCTTCCCTGGCAAGAAAATTTTGCGTGCTCAGATCCCGCTGTGGCCCTGTGCACTCTGCATTTGTTTGTCATAAGCCTGGAAATGTCTGTGAAAGGAGCATTTTAAACTCATCCTGAGTTTGTCACAGAAGCTCTGTGAGACTGCTTTATGCTGCAGAGGGTTCTTAGGTTTCCTCTGCCAGATCAACAGTGCAAATGAAATCATGGGAGTAGAACCTGAACTCTGAGGTTATTACACATCTGTCAGAGTTTTCCATATGCTCTGCACCCCCACTGGACTGTAACCTGGTTTAATGCCTTTCAGGAGGCTTATGACCAAGAGACTAATTGTAAAGTTCCTTAGATTTTTTAATTGTATTTATTTTTTTCCTTCTTTTACAGTTCATAAGCCAGCTTTCTTCCCAGTCTGTAATGTTGGCCTCATCCAAAGTTTTCAGAAGTATTGAGAATTTTTGACATTTGGGGTCAGATCCCAGAAGAGACACATGAATTGAATAAGTGAGCTTGAGAAGCTATTAGCCCCCTCATTAGTCTCTGTCCTCTTTTGTTCCTCTGAGGCAATCCCAATAACCCAGTGCCACGTTCTCATCCTGCTTTGGGACCCCCATGTTGTGTGCAGCAGATGAACCTGCAGTAGCCACAGTTCCTCCCCCAACAGGATCTCCGTTCTTTTTCATGCCCTGGAAGCAGAGGTTCAAAAGATTTGAAAAGTCCTTATACTAAGAAGGGTTCTTACAACTCCTTGATTTCAAGTGTTTAGAACTGTGCAAACAGCCCCAGTCAAGGATCTCTGTGAACCTGCTGGTGCAGAAGGAGCAGAGGGGAAGGATGGAGAGGTGAGGGTGGCAGGTTCCACACTGTGTGTAGGCAAAGCTGTGCCAAGCTGAGAAGAGGCTCAAAACTTAGGAAGGCCCATGTACCCCCTGAAGTGTCAGGAGATGTGTGATCTCCTGGGCAAGCTGGATCTGGAGGAATAGCAGGGCTTTGAAGTTCTGTTTCTGAGTATTCTGTGCTGCGTCTCTCTGAGAAAATGTGCCAAGATCATCCTCTTCAGGCAGCAGTGTCCCCATTTCACAGTTGCCCAGCTGAGCTGTACCAGGGGGACAGGCTCTGTGTGAAGAAGTGACTCAATGCAAATGATTTGCTGAGCCCCAGTTCACTGTTACAGTCCTGTGAGCACTGGTGACCTGCCATGTTCAGTGACTGTGTCCATGGGGTGTTCCCACAGAAGCTGTGGCTGCCCCACCCCAGACCAGGCTGGGTGGGACCCCATGGAGCCTGGTCAGGTGGAAGGTGTCCCTGTCTGTGGCAATGGGGGAGAAGCTGGATGATGTTTGAGGTCCATCTCAACCCAAACCAGTCTGTGATTCTCTGATTCTATGTTTAATCAAGTTTTTCAGAGACAGCCATGTTCGCCACCCTTTTTTTTACCCTTTTTCCCCTGCAGATATTCAGGCTACTGAAAGTCTTGGGAAACCTGCAGAGCTGGCAGTGGATGCTGCACAAGGGTCCTGTTAGGATCTCACCCAGGGCTGTGGAGGAGATCTGGAGCCTCAGGCTGGATGAGGCCCATCAACACAGAGCCAGAACTCTGTGCCCACAGAGTTCCTGAGCCAAACCCCTGCGAGGCTGCAGGCACCACAGCCCCTGGGGTCAGAGTCATTACCCAGCCACCTTGCTGGTGTCTGCTCATTCATGTGCAGGAATTCATCTAATTGGATTCTGTGCAGGGAAGAGGACTTATCCCTGAGTGCTCATGCAAATGCAGGAGCTGTGGGCTGTGGTTGTGGTGCAGCAGAGCTCAGAGCTTTGCTGTCATTCCAGGAGCAATAACGTGTTTCCAGGTAGAGTCAAGGCTTTTTTCACAAACCAAAGAGAGGAAGCAGTAGGTTCCTTACAACTCTTCAGTTGTTGAACACATCAACCACTTTATTCCAGGGTGTTATGCTTGACTGGAATTGGCTCTGCCTTCCACACATCTCTCTCTTAACCCTCACTGGTGAAACATGTTGGGTTTTTTGACATGGAGATTGATGTATCTGGTTCAGAAGGGACCTGGGATTAGAGGAAAGTTTATGGGAAAATTCTGACCACTCCCAAGAAGTAACCATTGACATCTTTGTGCAAGCTGAGAGCCTGTACCTTCAGCAACCTGCAAACATGGCCCTTGAAGGCTGTAATATGAGGGAGTAACTTCCCAGTGGAGCTGAACTTCTCAGTGTATGTGATGGAAGTGTGAATCTGGGTTGTAATGAACTGTGTGTCCAGGAGGAGCTGTGATGACCTCAGACATTGCCTGTTTGGGGAGGAATAAAACCATCAGAAAGTCAAAGGTCACTACTTCATGGGCAGCAAGCTGGGGGTTCCAGCACCATGCCTGTGATGAGAAGAAGAGGCAGAGCCCTCTTGGCACGAGTGGTGCACGAGTCTGCACACCCACAGACACCTTGTGTGGGCTGGGGCTTCCTCCTGTCGCTGCAAACATGCAGTTGTGTGGGCTCTGGTTACACAGTTGTGTGCAGGTGATTTGGGAGAGTCCTTTTACCTGGTGTTCTTACATCAGGACTCTCCTGCTGGGGTCATATGTCCAAATTCTGAACTCCAGGTAACAGCTAGGATCAGTCAATGGCTGCCTGGTTAGTGCCAACACCTCTCTGTGGGATGAGGAGACCATTTTAAGAAGACCAAACCTGAGACTGAGCAGGACTGTCTGCTCCAGTGGATTTATCATCAGGTTTGCTGTCCTCAATATTACAGCCTGTTTCAGTCTCCTGCAAAGAGGTACTTAAGCTTTCATAACTAAATTGATACTTTTGGAGCACAGCTTGGACTCATCTGAAGGTGAATGAGACCATGGTGTATTACTATTTTTTTAATGCTGGTGGTTTTGGGAAGGTCTCACAGATGGCTTTGAACTGTTCATGTTCATGGATCATGGCTTTGTGGATCTGTTGTTTCTACTAGTGCAGGTCTGGTTCTTGTTCAAGCCCCATGTCACCTCAGGAAACACGACACAGATTGAAACACTCTCTGCAAAGAACAACTCCAGAGGGTCTGTGGCGTTTCTGGAGCACAGGAAACTCTTGTCTGTCTAGGACGTGGTCCTACCTCGCTCTGATGCACTGCTGGAGCTGCCCTCCTGCTCCTCCTCCTGCTTCTCCTCCCTTCTAAAGCCACATCAGCCACCAGTTGGGAGCCAGGAGGTTTTTGCATGAGGGATAAGTCCTCAAAACACAAAGGGATGGTTAGAGGAGTGTGGCTGAGCCACAGACTGTGCATCTAGAGATAAAACTCATCACTGCATCTCTGTGCTGTGGGACTCCTGTGCTGTGCCGGGTGGAGGGAAGGCAAGGCAGGGAGGATGTGCATGAGGAGTTGGGACAGATGAATACAAGCCTTTGTCCTGCAGTTTACTCATCCAGTCATGATACCTACTGTAGTGGCTGCTATAAAGTCAGCAGAGCCAGGGAACCCCATAAAACAGTCTGACTGCCTTGTTTATTGAGCCAACAAAGCCCCAGGTTCCCAGAGAGGGAGTTCACACTGCAGAGAACAAGGTGGCACCAGCATATAAATGACATCATCTGTCTCTGGTCACACCACACGGGGCTCCTGAGCTCTACAGGTGAGAATATTCCTGGAGACCTGAGCCTACACACCTTCATTAAATATTTTACACAAATATTGACTTCCCCATGCACACAAACCCTGGAAAAGAGTGTTTGTGCAAGGAGAGCTGCTCTGCTACAAAATCAGTCACGCAGGCTCCCAAACACAAGGTTAGTAAATAGTTTCTCAAATAATGAACCATTTCAAGTTTCTCTGGGAAAGAGACTATCCAGAAATGTGTGATATGTCCAAAATAGCTGGATCTTTTTGATTAGTTTCTTTTCTCTGGTTGCATCATCTGGCTGAGCCTCTTGAGTAACACACTGACCTTCGCTTCTGAGGGCATTTCACGAGACTCTGCTGCATTTGGAACAGAAAACGTGCTGTGTAAGATCCTGTTGTAGGCAATCACTTAACTCATTTCTGCAGACATCTTCCAACATTCCCAGGGAATTAATTCACAGAGACTGAGTTTCTCTGTATGGTACCATCAGAAACCCACATGGAGGGAGTAGCACAAGCAGGGCACACACTCTGTGGGTTCAGTTGCTGCCTTCCCCAAAACAGAGAAGGGTTTGAATCTTTATTTCTGAACTTTTATCATTTCATTCCTGTGCAATGTAGGACAAATGTCCTTGTGCACCCTTTGTGACCATTTTACAGGGAAGAGGATGGAGGAGGAGAAGCTGGATGGCTTCAGGGAGGTCTGTGAAGCCTTCCCAAGCCATTGCACTATGAAGTGATGAGGCAGATTCCCCTGTTCCCAGATGATGGGGATCTGAGTGTGGAGCAGTGTGAGAGGCTGTGTGTGAGTGGGGCAGAGTGAGGCTCCTGTTTGGACACAGTGCTGCTCAGAGCTGGCTCTCCACTTGGTGTCACACCAGCAGGCTCCTGTGTTAGCTCAGAGGCAAGAATCACTAGATCTAAAATGTGTTATCCCTGAATGTGGAAAGAGCTGCCCAACTTTGTTATCCAGGTTCTGGGCAGGAGGGATGAGCACTGAGGACAGGCTTGGGCTCTGACTCCAGCAAGTGGTGTGGGTGTTCTCTTCAGTGGATACAGAGTGTGTGCATGATGAGTTCTTGGATACAGAGACTTCTGGGAAAGGAATGGAAAGAGAGGCTGGGCCTACAAGAAGGCTGGAGTGGGACTTTTCACAAGGGCCTGGAGTTACGGGGCAATGGGGGATGGTTTCCCACTGGCAGAGGGCAGGGTTAGATGGGATAGTGGGGAGAAATCCTTCCTTGTGAGGGGGGCAGGCCCTGGCACAGGTTGGCCAGAGAAGCTGTGGCTGCCCCTGGATCCCTGGAAGTGTCCAAGGCCAGGTTGGATGGGGCTTGGAGCAACCTGGGATAGTGGAAGGTGTTTCTGCCCATGGCAGGGGGTGGAATGATATGGTTGTTAAAGTCCCTTCCAATCCAAACCAATCTGTGATTCTGTTATTCCAAGATGAAAGGCTGAGATTACAGGGAAAGTGAGGAAACAGTGGGTAAGAGAAAGTGGCATGGGAAAAGGGAGGGCTGGGGTAAAATAAACAGCATGAGACTTCCCACTCTTCCTCAAATCCAGGATTTCCTCCCATTGCATGGCTCAAAACTGTTGTATCTGATTTTGTGCAGGGTAGAAGAGGCCACAAAAGCAGATAATTATGAAGACAGTAAGAAGAAGGACTATTACCAGCTTCCTATTCCACGGGAAAATATTCACTTCCTGCAGACATGGGAAGAGACACTGCAGTGCTGGGAGAAGGTGCTGCAGGTGAGTGTTACCTGGGATTGACTTTGCAGGTCAGGGAGCAGTGTCTGCCTCCTGAAGCCAAGAATAGCTGCTCCTTTAGGTTTGTTTGACTGGGGGAACGTGTCAGGCATTGTGCCAGGAGAGGTCCCTGCAGGGGTACTCAGGTGCTGTGGGAGTCACCTGGCTCTGTAGCAGTTTGCACAAAGAGCTGCCGTGGTTGGAAAGGAGATTCTTGTGCCCTGGACACACTGCCCGGGCCCCTCTCAATCCCAGCAAGTGTCTGAGTGCGGGAGGTGTCTGTGTTGCAGCCTGGGCAGGTTGTTGGTGTTGACATGGAGTGGAAGCCTTCCTTTGGCATGGTGGGGAAGCCCCGTGTCGCCCTCCTCCAGATGGCAGTGAAGGATGAGGTGTTCCTATTGGACCTGCCACGGCTCCTCGAGCAAGCTGAGGAGGAAGAGGAGAAGGAGAAGCTCCCCCGATTCATCCAGAGGCTCTATTCGGATGCTGCCATCACTAAGCTAGGTAACACACCTCTCTTCTCCCTACCCTGGGGCTTCACACAGCCTACTGTGTCATTTTTGTCATTCCTAGATCATCTTGGAGTTGTCATTCTCCAAATCCACTTGCCATGGAACCAGCTTTTGTAGCCCTGGGTGTTCAGTCACTGCCAGACCAGGAAGTAGGGTGACCAGGGGAATCACAGAACAGTAGCATATCCTGAGCTGGGAGGGACCCACAAGGATCATCGAGTCCAACCCCTGGCCCTGCACAGACACCCCAACAATCCCACCCTGGCCCTCAGAGCGTTGTCCAAACTCTCCTGCAGCTCTGGCAGCCTTGGGGCTGTGCCCACTGCCCTGGGGAGCCTGTTCAGTGCCAACCACCCTCTGGGGGAAGAACCTTTCCCTGAGATCCAACCTGACCCTGCCCTGACACAGCTTCATGCCATTATATTACCCCATTTCAGATCAGAGCAAAGATTTCTATTTAGCTTACACTCTTAGATTTGGGATTATCCTAATTCCATACTAAGCTCCAACTGACACCCAAACCTCAGTGGTTTAGGGAAGTCTGGCAGCCAGAGCTTTCTGGATGTCCCTGTCCCTGAGCTGTTGTGCTGGACACCAGAGCTCTCTGAATTACCATACCTGGTTTCTGGGGGCTTTTGGCAAGATTTGCAAAGCCTGGATTTCGAGGACAAATTCATAATTACCTTCCCAGATTTTAAATAAGTTGGTCTTAAACTCAGAATTTTTCATCCACCTCTTCTCTCCCTGGATCTCCAGGAGTGTCTCTTGGGAACAGGAGAGTTGGGAGCCCTGTTTGAACAGTCTTCCCACCAATGTCTGTGTGTCTTTTGTCAGCATTTTGACTCTGAAGTCGAAGAAGCTGCGGTGCTTTAGCCTGAGTTCTCTCACCTGTGTGATTTGGGCTGTTTTTATCTCCAGGTTATGGGATGTCTGGAGACCTCAGCAGCCTTGCAGCCACATGTTCTGCTCTGAAAGACGCGGAGAAGCAACTGCATGGTGTGGTGGATCTACTCACAGTGGATAAACAAGTAAGGATGAACACATCAAGATGTGGGAAATTGTGTCTCCTGTGTGCACTGGTGGATAACTGTCCTGAATCCACAGCACTGTCTGTTTGTATCCTGGATTGGCAGGGATACAGCTACATGAGTAAATAGACCATTTCCTCTAGTGTGTTTGAGGTGTTGGGATTCTGTAAAGGAAGACAGAAGCATTTTGTTTCCATCAGCTAAAAGATTAAAGCTTGCAATACTGACAGCTTTTTCCCAGCCTTTATGAAAGCTCCATTCAGCCAGGGCAAGGTTTCTGAGCACAAGTTATGCTTGAACTTAAGAAGACTAAGTTCTTGTAGGAATTCTGCTATCCCAGGACCATGCAGGATTGAAGCAGATATGATGGAGTTAATGATTTGTACAGAACTCTAATGTTCCTTGGAGGGCTGCTGGTGGGTTCAGCACAGGAATTTCTGGTCAGCTGAAGCACAGCTGTCCCTGGGTTTGCACACAGGAGCTTTCAGCAGTCTGCAGAAATGTTGAGCATAATAATTTTAATGGGTAAAATGTACAAATGTACAGAGTGTGTTTAAGGCTGTGGGTTGGGGTGAAGCAGATCTTTGGGACTGATAGCTTAACCTGGGAAGTGCTGCAGGGGCTGACGTACCTGCCAACAGCTATTGCCTCAGTTTAACCTGAGAAATGGCAGCTTCAGAAAGGGTTGCAGCCCAGGGTGGCACAGCAATGCCTTTTCTCACTGGGACAAGGAGGAGGAAGATGCTGGTCTTTTATTGAGTGGGTGCCTAGCAGCCTCCAGCACTGCTGAGCACCCAGAGCCCTCTGAGGAGCCCCAGTCCGTCCCTGCAGCTCTGGTACAACGCTGTACAACAATGCCCTTTTTTCTCCTTCCTTGGCTACGAAACAGATTTCTCTCCAGCGAGCGTGTTTGTTAAACAAATAACCCGACGCCGTTTATATCTAATGCCATCCCAGCCCTTGTCTGAGACAACGGGGTTCGATATGCCAGGCAGATGGACGTGATAGGGCTGTGCCTGGCCCCACCCGCTGGGACACGAGGTGGTGAAGCTGTTTTACAACCAGGTGTTTTCTATCTCTTTGTTTCCATCAGCTGCAGAAGGGCTGCAGTGAGTGGAGGAAGGACGGCCGGAAGGTTGATGGACTGTCCCCGGAGCACAGCCACGAGGAGAGAGGGGTCAGGCAGCAGGAGAAGGGACTCAGCCTGCTGGTGCAACATGTGCTGGGAAAACCTCTGGATAAAACAGAGCAGCTGTCAAACTGGGAGAAACGGCCTCTCCGGGAGGAGCAGATCCTCTATGCAGGTCTGGTCCCTGCTCAGTGACACGGAGGGGGCACCTACACCTCCAGGTGTCCAGGACAGGTTGTGTTTGGCTGTTCTGTCACCAGGAAGGTCGTTAAGTAGCAAAGGAAGAGAATGGCTTTGCAGATTAGTTCCTGTTCAAAGGAGTCAGCACATGTTTTGTTTGTCCTTTTGCGGACATGGCTTTAATGGTTGAAGTTTAAACTGTCCAGTGATTCATTATTTCCCTTATGAAGGAATTCCTGTGCTTTGCAGATTTTGTCTGATGAAACATCACCTCAGTGGAAACTCTTCTCAGTAACTGAAAGGAAGAAAGTCCACTTCCTTCTGCCTCATTTCACAGCCTTCCTGGGAAACAAATGCTGTGTTCATTTGTCACAGTGAAGTGCTTGTTAGAGCCGGGTTAGAATTGGGCAGACGTGGTGTCAGAAACTGCAGCACAGAACCAGGACTGTGGAGGGACCAGTGGAGTTTATTGCTGATTATCCCAGAGTCAGAAGTCTGGGTCTAAATCTTTTCCTGGGGCATCAAAGGACATTCTTTGCTGAAGCAAACCAGCCCTTTGTTAAATTCAACTATCCTTGAAGCTGACACAGTTCCCACAAAAGTTAATCACTAGGACTTGTCAAACTGGCTGGGAGACTCTGGCAGTTCCCGTTGCAGGGAGCAGAGCCACACAACAATGCGTGTGGGCAGGTGATTGCAAACAGCTCAGTTAATGCCTTTTCAGATATTACATCTAAGTGGGGAAGTTCCCTTCCCATTGGGAGATGTGGTGAGGAACCGTGGGCAGGCTGAGGGACAGTGGTGAGGAACAGGGGCTGTCTGGAGCTATCAGGTGGTGGTTGGAACAGCCACACTACAGTCTGGGTTGTGTTAGAGTGGAGAGGGCAGAGCCTGTCACTTTTGGAGATCCTGCCTTGACCCTCTGTGACTGTGTGTTCAGTTATGAGGCTTCTTGAACCTCTCACGGAGCGCAGGGTATGACGTGAGTGAGTTGGAGCTTCACAGGTTGTTCACAGGGGCTTTTACAAAGGTAGGGGCTCTCCCTGGCACCAGGAAAGCCTCTGGTTTACCTTTGCATGGACCCAGCTGAGGTTCATATCCCCTTTCTTTCAGCCTCTGACGCGTACTGTTTGCTGGAGATCTACGAGAGGCTCTGCAAGGACCCAGAGAGCTTTGGGCTGAGCTCGGACCTGATGGACAGTCTGGTGGGAAAACGGAGCATAAAACCCAGGGCAAAGAAGCAGCTGAATAAACAAGAAGCACTGTCACCTTCTGGACAGGTTTGTAAACATCTTCAAAGAGCTGCTTGTTGCTCAAGACCCCTGTAAATCATACCCTACTCGTTCTCAGTCATACCATGAGCTCTGCACGGTGGACCCGTTTGCAGCCTGTTCTCAGGACTATTGCAGCAAACATCCTTCTTGTCCCTCCCTCCTTGGAATGATGTGCTTTCTCCTTGGCCTGGGCTGATTTCCCTGCACTGTGAGGCTCATTTGTCTTCACACAGCGTTGGTGCAGATCTGTGTGCAGAGTCCAGTGAGCCTTGCTGGTGGAAATCTATTTCCACAGTTCCTCGGCGCTGTGGGTTTGGATTCTGTGACCAAGGTGTTGCATCCATGAGGTTTCAAAACTCTGACCTTCTTACTTTTGATTTTACTAAGCTTCCACACCTTAGTTTCACACTTGGAATGTCTCCTCAGTTGTGTCTGGAGTACAGGTGTGCAAAGTTGAAAGCAAACGATCCATCAAAAATGCCTTTCTGCTAAAGATTTGTCTCTGCCTCCCTGCACAGCACCACAATCCAGGACTGGCCTTTCCCAGTAGACTGTGTTGTGGCAGAACCTTAAAACTCCACTGGCCATAACTTGGAGCTGTGTGACTCTGCTTAAGTATCCTGGAATATGACTGGTTCCTCTCAATAATAAAGTTTTACTTTCAAAATGGAACCCGTCCAGTGGTTATGCACCTTTGGAAACCTCAGCAGAAACCCCATTTTGTTTATTACCTGAGAAGACTCACTGTAACTGTGTATCCTTCTGAGGAGCCCCAAATGTGTGCCGAGTTCCCGAAGTCAATGCCACCTTCCATGGTTGGGCTGAGCTGTATCCACCTTGTCAGGTGTGTGTAGAAGAACAGCATCCCCTTAGTCCTCAGCAGGCAGTAAAACATGGAGCTGCTCAGTAGCTCCCTAAGCACTCTGCTCATGGGAATGCTGTGTTACAGCAGAGCTGACTGGCTGCTGCAGAGATGGGAAAAGTGAGTACTTCAGGCTTGAATTACCTTGGGAACCCACGGGTCATCTTTGTGCTCTGTACAGTCAGATCCATGAACTGAAAGGCAGTTGGTAAAACCTGGACTGGGACAACAAGAAAAGCAGACTTCTCCTGACTGCATCCTGCAGGACTCCAGACTCTTTTTCCCAGTATTTCCTGGTCCACTATCTGAAGTGGGGCTAATGACTCTGTTCTCCTTTATAAAGTTTTTTGCTCTCTGCTGGCATGAAACGTGAGAAAAAAGCTACATATGACAGTGCTGGCCACTGGATAAACACTGGTGAGGGCCAGCTGCTGCTCCTGCACATCTGTTTGAGCAGCAGCAGCAGCAGCCAGGGTCTTCCAACTGCCTCAGCACTGCAGGGCAGCTCCATCCCTTGTCACAGCCCTGTCCCAGGTCAGGATCCTGCAGGAGCTGGTGACAGTGCAGTGTGCCCCGTGCTGCAGAGCCCTGAGCTCGTGGACCAGCTTCTGGGAGGTGCAGCCTCACACCAGTGGAGCTCCTGCATCTGAGCTGGTTCCCAGGGTCAGGCCAGGTGGAACTGCATGATGTGCCACAGCATTCCCAGCCTTGAGCCAGCTCCTGCAGTGCGGACTCCCTGCATAGGTGCTGGCTGTGTCCTTCAGCCATCCCAGCTGATTCAAGTTCCTGGAGTCAAAAGCTGAACACTGGAAGTTCCTTAATAACTTCCCTTCTCCATGAATTTAGCTATTGTACTTTTGGGAACCTCCCAGCACTGAAGTCCTCCAAGTACAGGAACTCCCCCAGCAGCAGATATTCGAAATAAAACAAACAGAATTCAGGCTCTGCCTATTTTTAACCTTCCAAAGATAACAAAGCTGACGTGGTTGCTTTGTCTACCTGGTTCTCCCTCTGTCTGTGTGATCCCCTTCCCAAATCATAGCTTTGGCACACCTTTATTAATTGCACACTAATTCAGTAGGGGAACAGCAGCCTTGACGATGTTTCTGTGACTTCATGCAGATGTCTGTGTAGGGCACTGAAGGCCAGGCTGGCATTTCTCCAGGGAAAGGCTGCAGGTCCCTGGACTGGGTGGCCAGCTGGCCAGTGAGACAATGACTAATTCAGATTTAGCCCCATCACGTGCTGCCTCCTGCCCACGTGGGAGTGGGCAATGTGGAAAGAGGGAAGGAGGATGTAGAGGTGCTGCAGAGCATGGTGTGATACAGGTGGAAGGAGACAATGGATTTGTTGTGCGGTGGGTGAATGCAGGGAGGTGAAACACGAATGCACTGGAAATCAGCCTTCTGCTGTTCACAGATCTCTTGCCTTTCTCTAGCAGTGCCAAGGATCCCAGATGGAGACCCCCCGTGGCCCTGCCCCTGTGTCCCCCAGGGAGTTCAGCGTGGTGTGTGATAACATGCTGCAGGGCCTGGGCCGCTACCTGCGCTGCCTGGGCGTCGATGTCCGCATGCTGGACAACGAGGACGACCACAGGAAAGCTGCTGAGGTGAGTCAGGCACACACATGTGCATGTTCACAGCTGCCACTGTGCTCCCTGGGGATGGCTGCTCCTGCTGTGGAGCTGCACTGGGCATCACTGGGCCAGACAGGCAGCGGGTGCAGGAGCTGCCCTGCAGGTGCCTCCCCTGTCCCTGTGCTGAGTCCCAGCTCTCTGGGTCAGTCTGAGAAGCTGTGCCACCTGGCAGCTGGTGGCAGCTGGTCCCTGCAGTGGTGTGTGGGCTTGGTTCTCTGCTTCCAGTAGAGAGGAGCTGAGCAGAGACTGCTGTGATCTCACTCTTATTTGTATCTGTTTGTGTCATCAACAGCTGGAGCAGTTGAAGTCATGAGAAGAACACAAACAGAGTGTAAAGATCATAGAATCAGAGAATGGTTTGGGTTGGGAGGGACCAAAGTGTCTTTGGGGAGGCTGTGTGTTTGCAACAAGACAAAAGTCACTGAAAGGAACCCAAAATTCACTTAGAGTTCTAATGAACTCCAGTTTGGACTTACAGGAAAGGTAATTGTTTGCCTTGGGTCCAGGTCCTTCTGTCTGGTTGGACAGAACCATAATCCAAAGATGGCTGTTCAGTATGGAAGGGAAAATGTCCGTAATCAGTGGCCATGTAATGTCCTGGCTGGCCACCAACTTGTGAGGTGACTCAGAGGTGATCAGCCACAACTTGCTATGACTTAATTGGAAGAGTCTCTAACACACATGGGGGCAGTGGACATTGATTTGGGCTCCCATAAGAACTCTGATCCTCTGCTTCCCAGAGGAGAGACACGTGCTGCTTCATTTCAGCCATGTTTCTGCTATGCCAGAACTGGAGATATCCAGCCCACACACTGTGTGCTATCAAATGTGCACGAATCACCCGGCTTGGTGTGCAGGATGTTTCCTCTTCAGATGTCTGCTTGGCCTGGATCCGGGGCAGGCTCTAACTTCTGCAGAAATAATTAATATCTCCTCCCCGCCAAACTCGCACAAGTCATTTAAACAAACCAGTTCTCACTGCTTCCCCCCAGAGCCCCGACTCCGCTTCTCATCCTGATACCTTATCGTGCCACGGACAGGATGTTTGGCATTGCTTTCTCTATGGTGACCGGACAAACATCCTTTCACTATCAAAAGCCCTTGGAGTGTTACTGTATTGCAGAGCCTTTGATCTGGGCTTGGATAATCAAAGATAAAAATAGACTCCTCCCACCCTGCTTTATATCTGGCTTGTCCTGATTTAATCAAAGTTGAATGTTGACCACCCTACGCCCAAAAACTTGGAAATGTTACTGCAAGGGCCAGGAGGGGGTTTGGATCCAGGTCACTGAGTACAAGACAGACAGTTTGGGTGTTGTCCCAGCACAGTGTCAAACTAGTGTCACCAGGAATATGTGAGTGTGTACAGAGTTAGTGTTTGTTCATCACGAAAGTCTTTTCACTCAAATGATTTATCAGTCATATTACACGTTGTGCCAAGAACTCCTGCACCACCTGGCATTTGCTCTGTATTGTTCTCATTCCTGTGGCTTGGTAAAGTGGCTTCAAGTGTTGGTAGGCAGGTAGGTCTGGTCCATCACCCTCTATTATTTGGGATCAAACTTAAAAGCTTGTGAACTTCATCATCTGTGCTTGGCAGCTCTGGAATTGATTTATGTTTTATTTTAGACTAGTACCTGTGGCAGGAATTAGTTTGAGAACCCCCGTTCCAGGAGGTCTCTGTTCCATGGACATGAAATCCATGTCCTGTGTTCTGCTCTATGTTGTGCTGTTGTTATTGGCTAAATGTTTTATCTTGGACATCAGTTGTCGTGGCGAGTTTATTGTGCCAGATCTGCCATCTCAGATGTGCAGGCATGTGAGAGCAGGACCTCTGACACCATGAGCCACTGGACCCCTCCTGGCTGTCCATATGTAGTGGTGGCAGTGCTGGTTTAACAGCTAGACTCGATGATCTTAGAGGTCTTTCCCAACCTTGTTGATTCTGTGATTCTATGGTTCTGTTTATCTCCTGTGAGGTGCCACCAGCTTGCAGTCTGTGATTTAATGGTGCTATCTAATCAGGACTTGACTGGAGAAGCGACTGATTAAAGTTGCCTGTTATACACAGAAAATCTTTAAAAATGGAAAAATATGAGAAACTCATACTGAAAATGTCTGTGGTGAAATCTGTTCTTGTGTGAAAGGCACAGAGCTCACAGGCCATCCTTACAGAAACATTTTAGCCTCTGTCCACGAACATCAACCTCTTGGGCAGTTACAGGTGTCCTTTCCCAAGCCCTCTCACCCAGTGCTGGTTTTACCACCACTCTACCTGCTGTAGCACTTGCACACACATGTTTGGCACAGCAGGAATGCAGCTGGGGGATGAAATTTGTTCCAGATGTGCTGGATGAGCTCCTTTACCTGACATTAGTAGCCTGTACAGTGAGAGATGGGACCCAGCACATGCTTTCCGTGACACACTCCTGCCTGCCAGCACTGCTCTGGTCCTGCACCTTGGGGAGGTTCTTCTGCAGGACTTTGGGCAGTGGCCCAGGCTGGCCCAAGCCTGGCTTGTGCTGTGTGGCTGCTCTGAAGAAGGGCTGTGTGCATCCAGCCATTCCTCCCCAGGCACTCCAGCCCAGGGTAACCCCTCAGGTACAGAATGCAGAGATTCCATCTCTTTGATGCAGCACATTCTGGGTGTGCAGGGGCCATGTTTTGGTGAGCCACCCTTTGCATTTATTCCATAAACAACGTGTTATTTCCAATCAATACAAGTTTCTTTACTTAAATCATGTCCTGTGCCTGCTGTGTTCCTACCCAGGTCTTCCATGCCCCATCCCTGGGAAACATTCCAGGTCAGGTTGGAGGGAGGCTCTGAGCAAACTGATCCACTTGAAGATGTCCCTGCTCACTGAAGGGGATTTGGTACAAGATGGCCTTTAAAAGATCCCTTCCGACCCAAACTATTTTATGATTCCAGATTGTCTTCTGCAAACTTCTCCTTTCAGAGAATCTTAAACCTATGTTTTGAGTTTTCCAGGTGGATAATTGGAAGAAGATAGGAAAGTTTTAGTGGGTGTTCCTGTTTTCTCTGCAGTTTTGTAGATCAGGCAGATGCTTCTCACACTGAACTCAAAGGATCACCCGTCAGCCTGAAGTGACTACAGTAGATCCTGCAATGTTGTACATCAGGAGTAGAGAAGAAGTTTTTAAGAAGATTTTGGTATTCTCTTAGGTTTCTAATAAGAGACTTAGTGGAATCTCAAAGCTGCTTCAGTTGAGTTGAGGCTTAGTTTGTTTGATTTTTTTAATGGACTTTGCTATTGGTCTTCAAAATCATCCTCATCTCTAAGAACACTTTGACACTAAGACAAACCTGGTACCTTTTGAAGTGTGATAATAACCAGAAGGCAGGTAAAACTGGCTTCCTGCAGCTCCCATGCTGTGGAAGGTTCCCTTGCAAGGTTACACCTACCCCCCAAAACTCCAGGTGAACCAGTGAGTTGGAGAGGAGGGTCAGGCTGGGTGATCTCAGGAGCCAGACAGAGCACTGTGCACCCAGATCTAATTGCCCTGGATTGATTTGGAGCCAGGGGACACAAAGGGGACTTTAATACTGCAGTGAGCAGAGGATGACATAATGGGGGAATCTAATCTCAGATCTTGTCTCAGCTTTGAAGGCTTTTTCCATATTTTTGATGTAGATGACATTCTTCAGGTTGCTGGCCTTTTTACTGCACAGACTGTCAGGGAGCTAAATTCACAGAGGGCGGATGAAGAACTGTGTTGCTTTCAAGATCAGCACTTGGCTTGTAATGTTTGGTCAGCAGGAGGAGGAGGTGTTTTATTGGAGACCTTGATACCAACAAGTCTGCATTAAGAAACAAAACTGGGTGAATGGTTTTGGTGTGATACTTAAGGCCACATGATAAAACCATGTGATAACTCTGTACAGTTCATAGTATTCAGGAATGCTGAAGAGAAGTTTAGGGTTGCAGTGTCAGTGGGGCTGGACTGAGGGTTCTCAGAGCTGTTGAGCTCTTGGTTTACTGTCTGTTTTAAAGGAGCCTGGGATAACTCCCCAAGGGTTGGACTGAGTTTTGGGATCCACTTCTCTGGTAGATCCTTGTCTGAGTACTTTCCCACCACACATCGTGGGGGATGTGTGCACTGTCTGTCCACTCCCTCTTCATCTGAACTGGGATTTTGCTGGCCCAAGTTCAGGATCACTGCAAGGGGGTCACAGCTTTTCCTCGACTGCAATTTGCTTCTTCAAGGGCGTGTGGCATTGCCCAGCATGTGTCTTGCACAGACTTGGCAAAGTTTAACTTACAAATCCAGAGCCTTGTGCTGCTGTTTCTTGAACCTTCTTTTGGCCTTACTTCAGGATCTTTCAGGTTGTCACGAATCATCCTGGTGCTGGCTTCGAAGCAAAGGGGCTCTCTGCCCTCTCTCCTCAGTCATTGTCCTTCCAGGTCTCTCTGACAGCAGTTCCTTTGGGTTCACTCATCTCTGCAGGATGGAAGTTGGCTAAACAGACAGGCACATCAGGGGCTAAACAGTAACAGCAAGACATTCGGGAGTGCTTTCTGTCCAGAAGGTCTGAGCCTTTTCCAGAGGAAGTTGATATTATCTTTGTAGTAGATTGTGAAACTGAGGCCAATGCCCTCTCTGCAGCACTTGGGCTGGAGCACAGTTCGCTGACACCCACTCCAAAATGCTGCCCTGGGCCTTCCTTTCCTCTTGTTTGCAACCCTGAGCACACATCTCCCGATGGTCCCAGCGCTACCTTCCCCTGCTGCTTTGGACAAATCCAAGGAATTGTGCCTCTTTCTCCAGCATGAGCCCTCTCTGGTCCCAGTCAGATGTGTGCTGTCACATGGCCCTTCTGGCTCTGCGTGCTTCTCCCAGTCCCTGTTCCAGAGGCAGAAAAACATGCTGGAAGAGTTATTGCTTTTCTCCTTTTTATTTGATGTTCTTTGCCTGTCTCTGCAGAGTCATTTAGATAAGAGGATTTATCAAGCTTGAACTAATTAACCCTGGATGCAGGAAGTTAGAATGGAGGGTTCCAGCTCTGAAATCCTCAGCCTTACCCTGAAGCACACATGGGTTGAAGGAATTTCACATCTCTTTTCCCTTGCTGGCAAATTGCTGTGGTGAACTTCTGCTGTTGCCTTACCAGACTTCTCTCAGTAATGTGCCATGAGGGTGCTGTGTTGGCTGCTCAGTACCCAAACTGTGTGAAGCAGGATTCCATGGGGTGCCTCTGCTGCTCAGCTTCCAGGTTCCTGTTCTTACAGGTTTTTTTTTCCTTCATCAAGACAGAGAGGATTGATTTTGAAAGAAATCCAGTAATTTTACCTGTAGGAAGGTGCTTTAGAAGTTGTTACCAATTGCTTTCTCAGGGCAGAACTGGCAGCCAAAGAGTGACTTCACAAAAAAAGGAGGGAAGTAGCTACCTAAAAGGTCAAGAAGGGAAAAAAGGGGAAAAAAAGTTACTTAGCTCCTGCATGGGACCTTCAGAGCCTTCTCCCCTTGTTTCATGTTGCCATAGATCCAGTGGGGTCTTAAAAAAATGGTTCTCTAAGAAAGAGTTTAAAAGTCATGGCTGGGTTTTCTGCTGTTCCCTGGCTATGCTTGGTGGTGTCATCTGTCTGGAAAGGGCAGCAGGGCTTTGATCCCAAATGTGCCCTCCTGCCAAGGTTAGAGAGTGATCCAGAGAGAGCTGCTGAACCCTGAACCAGATGAGAGACCTCCACAACACACAGCTGGAAATCAGTGAAAACCACGAGGGCTTCCAACAGTATGCAAGCCAGTGAAGAAAGATAACCTCATGCCTACCTCACAGCACTGATCTCTTGTCAGCAGGATCGGAGCTGAGTCCTGGTTCACATGGGAATCCTTCGAAATCCTCCTGTCACCATGACCATGAAGCTCTTTCCCTCCTGCAGGAGGGGGAGGGGAGGGAGGGAGGGAGGAATGTCGTTCAGTCATAAGGTCAGTCACACTTCCATCCTCGCAGCTCCAGATTTAGTGTCTCCTTTTGGCACCAACCCATTTGCAGCGTGTCTGGCTCCGTGTGAAGGTCAGCAGTGCGGGTGATGAGCCCCCTGGTAATTCAGTGCAGACCTTCCACTTGAAGGACCAGATCTCTGGTTAAAGCTCAGGACTACGAGTCAGGATGTGATAAACTCTAAGGGAGATATTCCTCGAAGCCCAGAGAGGTGCATAATTCCTGTGTGTTGGATTGCTGGGACAATAACACCCTCTTTCTTTTAGGAGCATTTTCTGTTAATGATATGAAGTTTGCAGACACATTTCATGGTACATTTTTTTGCTGTAATTACCTGCTTAGGCTACTTTTTCCTTTCTCCCCTGTGTAACAGAACTGTTTGCTTCTTTGTAACCCAGACTGAGGAAATAGGAATAGTCTGGGCTAAGGGGAAAAAATAAAAGATAGGTTTTGCATAGAATTGTTTCAAGGTGGGATGGTTCCCTGGGCCATCTGCAGTGCAGATGCAGCTTGTTCCAGCACATGAGAGACATAGCAGGGATTGGCAGGGAGGGGACATGGGATGAGCCATAACTTGCACTACTGAGTCTGGCAAGAGCTCTTGGCCTAGTGTGGGCTGACACTGAAGAGAAACACTCAAGATCTCCAGTCCACCTTCTCTCTTGTGACTGCCAGTAAAGCTTGAAGGCACTGTAACTTCAACCCCTGTTCACTTGGATTTTTGCTGTTTTTTCCAGATTGCCCGACAGGAAGGAAGAGTCATTTTAACCTCTGGCCTCCCGTATCAGACTGTAAGTGTTGTGTTTCTGGGTCTGTATCACTGCGTGGTCTGGGGTGTGCAGGGGAGAGAAGAGGAAAAGCCTGATGTGAATGCAACAACTGGCTTGGCTTTTTCATGTTTTCTGCACTAAAAGCTATGTTAAGGGCCTTGAGAGGTTTGCTGTTCTCAACCCCCAAAGCCTGGGGTGAAATGTTCTTTTGTATCTACTCTCAGTCCTGCATCAGTGGGGAGAGCGATTGCTCTCCTCTGGGGCAGGGGTGGAAGTCAAGCCAAGCAATCCAGAACAAAATGTTTCTGTTTGACCTCACTGGCAGGTGAAATGCAGCTCCATTCCTGTGCTTTTCATCCCAGAGATTCTTGTTTACTGACTGGCTCCACACTGACAGAGTTTCAGCACTTAAAGCCATTTCTTCAGGCTTGGAAGGCAGAGATTGGAAGTCCCCAAGGGTCCTGATGGAAACTGTAGAGGTTTTGTGTTCTTATAGATAAAAAAGTCAAAGCAAAACCCAACCTTACCCTCAACACCAGCTGTTCAGAGCCCTTCACAGACAGTGTTGGTGGGAATCTGCTGAGCCTTCCAAGTCAGTGGTTACAATGTTGTGATGACCTGCTCCAGGTGGCAAGTTTTTACTGGCCAAAAATTCATTTGGAGGAGGGAAAGTGTTCTGGATGAGCCAGAGTTCTGTTCACGTGAGCCAGGGTGCAGGACTTCTCTGTCACAAACTGTCAGTATAAAAGCCCACAACTACTCAAGCAACCAGTTGGAGTATTTGCAGAATACGGGTTGTTAATTTCCTGTGTCATAGCTGAGTGTGAAAGAAAACTCCCCCCATGATGAGACACAGAGGCAAGTGCAGTTGTGCCACCCTGCAGGTTCTTCATCCAGACTGTGGTTCCTTGAGCCTACAGCTGATGTTATAGGTAATTCAGCATCCAGCATAATCTTGTTTGGCAAAGCTTAAACTTCAGAGTTCTGGGTAGGAATTGCAGAAGGAAAATAATGCTTCCAGTGTATGGCACTGAGCTGGGAAATGTCTGGGTCCCTTTGCTCCTTAGCTTTGGATGCCCTCTGCAAGGACAGGATGGCTCTGCCAGGCTCCTTTACTGGTGTGTAGCTATCCCACCTTGTGAGTACTCAGCATGGTCATAAAAATGTGTCTGGAACTTCCCAGAGCCTGTTCCCAGATACTAAATATGGAAAAAACGTTGAGGGAGTGTCCACCTCAATCCCTTCAAATTTCTTGACTATAAGGGAACTTAAACATTTGTGTGAAGGAGAAGGGTTGGAGTGGTCACTGGACACCATTTCCATCATCGTGCTTTGGCACACTGATCTGGCCAGGTTTCATCTGAAAGCTGGCATTTGATTCAGTTTCCTCCTGCTACCCCTCTCAGCACCACTCCACCGACTTATAAACTGACAGGATTTGGGCATATTCTGTAGACTAGAATCATGGAATCATTAAGGTTGGAAAAGACTTTAAGAGCATCAAGTCCAACTGTTAACCCAGCACCACCACCAAGGCCACCACTAACCTGTGTCCTCCAGTACCCCATCCACATGTTTTTTGAATCCCTCCAGGGATGGGGACTCCACCCTGTCCTGGGCAGCTGTGCCAGGGCTGGACAACCTTTTCAGTGAAGAAACTTTCCTTAATATCCAACCTAAATGTCCCCTGGCACAATTTGAGGTCGTTTGCTCTTGTTACCTGGGAGCAGAGCCCGACCCTGACCTGGATCCAACCTCCTGTCAAGGAGCTGGAGAGAGTGAGAAGGGTCCCCCTGAGCCTCCTTTTCTTCAGGCTAAATCATGTTTCATATTTATAAAATACTGCAGCGCTTCAGGAGTCAGAGCTACTGCAGCAGTGACTGCCTGTTAAATTACCAGCTGTGCTGGTTAGATCAAAATTCAGACTGTAAACACATTCTGACTCCAAACATTATTTGTGATTCAAACCACAGCAAGTGTATCAGGAAAATCCCCACATCCCATGATGTGCCTCACTGAGTGTCTTTTTGGTTTGAAGCTGCAGTCCCAGGTGGGAGAAGGAAGGTGTTTCTCTGTGAACTGCTCGGAAAAGGCGAAAGAACAGGCCCTGCAGGTGCTGAAGCACTTCAACGTCCAGGTGTCCCTGAGCGATATCTTCAGCCGCTGCCAGGTAGGACGAGGCTGGTTTGAGCCCCGGGGCCCTCTCGCTCGCTGTTCCCTGCACAGCAGGCGCTGCTTTGGGATTTTGGGCCTTGCCTTCAGTGTTTTCCTGGTTCCCAAGAGTTCTGCTTCGACTCTGGCAGCCCCTTGTAAAGCCCTGGGGAGTTCTGAGTGCGCTCACGTCCCTCAGAGTGGCGATGGCTCAGTCGTGGCAGCAGAGGCTCAGAATCTGCAGCTTTGCTAGAAACTCGCCTGTTCTTCTGATTTTTGGTGCTTGGCATGTGTTTTGGCATCGACTGTCATGGTTATAGGCCCTTTGTTGCTGTGTTCTCTGTCTAGGACACATGCTGTTTTAATTATAAACTATGTTTAATTATGTCTCTGTGATTCTGATAACACTTAATTACTTTAATAGGAGGATTTTTTCATGGGACTTCTTTTTCTTTCAGAAGCTATTAGGTTAATTCATGTCCATGCTAGTTGATGACTCTAGATTGTGTTTGGCACTGTATATCTGTGGATTGTTGTTAAGAATAAATTTTAATTGTGTTAGCTCAAATCACCATCTCTTCCAATTTCACTCTCGTATTTGTTACAGCAACACGCTGAAACCTATCCCTCCAAAAACTGTAATATAAACCAAGGGGCAGCTCCAGCATCTCTCATCTTATCAGTGTTTTAAGAGAGAAAAAGGAGAAACTGGAAATTGGCTAGAAAAGGAGCGTTCTCTTAGGGATAAACAAGCCCGTGAGTCTGGCTCAGTGCCTCGTGGTTGAGCTCCGGGGTCTCCTGGCCCAGTGGAGCTGCACAGGCAGTGGAGGAGCAGCACTGACTCCTGAGCAGACACACCAGAGAGCATGTCCTAGACCTCCGCTTATATCTGCTGTTGGATGTTGAAACTGGATCTGTAACTTAGAGAGGAAGTGAGAGTTGCCCGGCTGGGCAGGTTGTCTGTGAGAGGAGACTGATGGAACACCCTGCAGGTGGGACCGACAGAGTACAGGTCGATCTTACTGCAGGATAAATGTGTGTCCTCAGGTATAGCAAACTGCCTTCAGTCCCGGGGTTTTATTGTCCCAGAGCAGATTGCAGTTGTTATACATACATGTATTTGTAGTGGCACGCTGGCTTCTTGGGGATTTCAAACAAAACTTTAGAAAACTTTGTGGATTCTCCAATTCCCTGACATCCCATAAAATAGCAGTGTTCCTCCTGATGGTTGTTGAAATACCATGAGAATCAGCACACACACACAAAACCGTGCTGCAGGAAACCCTGTGCTGTCTGTAATAAATGCACAAGACTGTGCAGCCACTGATGGAAACTGACCCCTCACCCAGGATCTGGGGTCTGGAACTGGTTAACTCTATGGGTTTAGTACATGCTGTCTTGGTTTACGATATAAATAGGGGTAATCAATCTGGCTAGGAGTATATACTAAGTGTTCCCTTACTTCCAGGAGAAATGCCTTCCCTGTAAATTGTGGTGGTGGAACAGCTGCATGTTTTATACCCCTCGGCATGGGAAGATGCTGATTTGTCAAACCTCTCCATGTTCTGAATCATGTATTTACCTACATTCAAGGCTTTTGGAGCTGATTTTGTTCAGCTGTCCTTGCAGACAGCTCAAGTCTGGCTGATATGTTACTGATGCTCTGGAGGAGAACACAAGCTCTTCCAGCTGCACATGCCCAGGCACTGCAGTGCTCTGTGGACTGTGTGTGAGGGGGGCTGTGGGCAGCCCATGGAAATGGATCATCCTCCTGCACTGTGGAATACTGGCAGCCCTCGTCAAAAGTGGCAGATTTCTGCCTTGAAGAGGGTGCTCTGGGGCCTCAGTGGCCAACAGAGACCTCAGCAGTTCTTTTGTGTATTCTTTCCTCCTTCTCTGCAAACCTAATTGGGCTTAATTAGGATGGAGTCTGGATGCTGAAACTGCTGAGCTGTGCCTGCCAGCCTGCCCGTGCTGCTCTGGGGCCAGATTACAGAGCCCAGGGCTCCCAAACTGCCCTGGCCCTGCCCCCTCCTTGCAGAGGGGTGACAGAGGGTTTGGCTGTCCCTGAAGTGGGGAGCAGGTTGGGCACATGAGTGGGACTCCAGAAACACCTGAGTGCTGCTGTGCCCATGCTGGGCAGAGGGAAGAGGATGAGGAATACTGATCCATAACCTGGGCCACTCTCCTCCTGCATCTCCACAGAGCTGGTCTGCCGGTGCAGGGCTGGGTTATCGACACCATCAGCCATCACAGATAAGCCTTTGCTGTGTGTCACAGGAAGCAATGTGGCATCCTGCCTGCCTCCCTCTGTCTCATAGAGCAAGGGCTTGTTTTGTCTCTTGGGCTTCTGTTCTGTAAATGATTGGAGTGAATATGTCAGCAAATATTGTTGTCATAACAATTAATGCGTGTAGTGCAGAGCCCACGGTAAAAATAGGTTCCAATTCAATGTTGTACCCAAGATTGCTGGAAAATATGTTTTCTCTGTCATCTCCCTCAGCAGGGATGGAGGGGCTCTCTTTTGCAGACATAAAGAATGGGATTGCTTTGTCATCCTGCCAAAATACTGCTGCTTTTTCTGTTAAAACAATGGCCAATACTGGTTACCTCTGTCTGACTTAGAGCAGCAAGTGCACAGGGAATGTCACCCAGAGGCTTCTCAGCATTTCTGTTCCCTCTTGAGCTGGGCTTTGACTTGGTCGCTCCAGTTAAAGATTCCAGGAGTGGGGACTGCAGCCAAAGGTGTCAGTGGTGGCACAGGAATGGCCTTCTTTTTCCATGCACCTCTCAAGTGCTGCGTTGTAAGGACTTGGTGATAGTCATGGAGAAACCAGCTCTGCACAGCAGCTGTAGCCAGGCCTGGTACTGCCTTTGGTGAGGAATGTTTTATGGGGAGCTGAGTGAAAATAAGATTAATTCTGTCTTTTGGTGACAGGCAAAAAACCCCTGAGAAGTTCTACTTTTCACAGCCTTAAAATATTTGAAACCCATTCCCTCTATTTGAAATGCAAATGTCCTGTGCCTGTCCCCTCTGCACACATTTGAATATCTTGTATGCAAGTATCTTGTGTTTCACATATCTGAAGTACCTCTTTCAGGAAGGGGTGATGTGAAATGATGCTTGGGGAGTTCTGACATGATCAGGTCAGCACAATGAGTCCTTACAGTAGTCAGGAAAGTCTCTCTGGAGTTGTCAGGGGCTGTTGTGGACAGCCTTAGGGTCAGCTCACAGCCTGGCTCACATGGGAGGTCAGCGATCCTCTGCTCTCCCCAGCTTGGAGGGAGTTCTAATGCAGAAGTAGCATTTAGGAAAGAAATAAATACCAAAACTTGCTAAGGAAGGTGGCTACTGGGTGGCTACAGTCATGGGTATGAGCAACCACCAGCTGGGTCATTTCACAGAGGGAAATTTGGCTCCTCTCCCAGGTCCCTCCATTCATGGAGGTTGTTGTCTCCCACCCCTCCTGGTGCTGCAGGTGGGATGTCCCTGCTTGGGGACATCCTACTGTGACACTTGGGTATGTCCTGCCTGTCAGGACAGCAGGAGGACATTCCAGTCTCATAAAGAAACTCTTGAAGACAGACATGCTTTGGCAGATATTACCTGGGTGAGTGGTGTGGCCTTTGCCATCCTGCTTTTCCATGCTGTCTGATTGAAGGTCCACCCAAAGCAAGTGTGGGCTGTGTCTGTGGACCTGCCAGTGCCTCTTCACTGACTGCTGGGTGAGCCCCAGGTCTCAGGACGTTTCACTCCACATGGCTGGGGTGAGGTGTCTGGCCCTGCCACGTTCTTGTCAGTGACAAAACACTTGTGTGCACGCAGACCAGGGGTGCAGGGCTGGCAACGCCACTCCTCACACACACTGACAGGGTGAAATCACGGTTTGAGTGGTGATAAACTGAGGAGATAAACACTGCAAGTTGTTAGCTTGAAATCTTTATATCACGATGATTGGAAGGGAGAACAGGGTGCTCAGTGTTGTATGGGCTCGCTGAGAAATTCCTCCTGCTCTGGGAGAGTCTTGTGGTTCAAGGATTCTAACTGTGCTGTAAAACCCTTGCTGGGGTGAGGCTCTGCAGCCACATTTGGGGCCAGGAAGGCCTGTCTGTCTGCAGAAAAGCTGCCTTTCCTCAGAGGTGAAGCTGCTGCTCAGCTCAGTTCTGAGTCCGAAGCTTAGCTGGGGGACCCGGGTCCTGCAGGGCGGCTGTGCCACCCCCACCTCCCCTGGGCCTCTCTTTCCTTTCCCACCCTCTGTTTGACTTGACCCTTTAGCCTTTAAGCTGGCCGGGGCAGGGACCCTGCTTGAACAATACCTAACTCCACGGGAGGCTGATCCCAGGTGAGGTTTCAAGGCTTTCCTGCAAGGAAAAATGATTGCAATTATATCCCCTGCAAAAATAAATGTGTGGGGGAGAAAAGATCTCGGGCTCCAGCTGCAGTTTGTGCATCTGAACAGCCCTACATTGACGGTGGGATTATCTGCAGATTCAAATACGTTGTCTCTTTCACTTCACTGAATTCTCTGATCCTAAATAAGCAAATTACATCACCTATTCTGATGTCCTGTTTAACTTATGACCTCAGCCTGAGTGCTGCAGGATGTGAGAGATAGCTGCTCGATTTCATTGTCTGGAGATCTGATATATTTTTCTCCTTCCCCCCTTCCCCCCCACACCTTCCCTGCTCTTTCAGTTTCCAAACCACTCATCCCAGCCTTTACAAAGGTGTTAGCAAGGGATTAGGAGTAGGTGGGGAAGAGGGGGGAGGAAGAGAGGAAACCACCTTTTTTTTTTTTTCTTTTTTTTTTTTTTTTTTAAATTAGGTGCAAAAGCATTCTAACAGTTGCAGCAAATGTTTCTGGGGTTTTGTGGTTGAGGTAACGAATTTCGTTGCTGCAAAGCTCATCATGTGCAAGCTGATTTACGCACAGGGAGCCTGGGATGGAGCAATCCATTTAGCAGGGACAAAGAAAAAGGCCTTATGATGAGATGGAAACCCTGTGCTTGAGGCACTTT